CCCCATTCACCTGCCACAGCCCTGCCGATCCCCAAGCAGGAGGGTGGGCAGGAGGGTGGTCGACAAGGGCCCGCCCCACCCGCCCCCCACATGCCTCCCCTCCTCCACCTCCCTCCCTACCTGCTTGCTTTGAGCGCTGAGGATGTCGTAGGCGACACAGCCTGTCTGCCAGTTCTTGACCCGCGAATATTTGGGGGGCTCAATGGGGCAGGCATCTGTGGCACTGGTGCGGGGGGAAGAACACACGGACAAGCAGGCATTACTCCATTTCTGTGTTTATAATGTTATTGCATTGTTTTTGCTGCACATAAATTTCCTACATACGTACATACAAACATACATAAACTGCATCTGGTCAGATAATGAAGCTGGAAAACCCCAATGCTCCCCACCGCCACCACCTCCGGATCATGTGTCTCGGAAAATATGGCAGTGACCCGTAGACATGCCCCCCAAAGGTGTGGGTCCCCTAAAAGAAGACATGGGCAGAATCACCATTTAGGGCAGGCCGGGGGGAGGGGAGTCAACATGAGGGGGATGAATGGAGATGGGGGGGGCGACAGTGAGCCGGATGAAACCGTGGGAGGGAGGGACAAACACCATCACAAAGAGGCAGGAGGGAGAACACAAGGAGACCAGCAGAGCCCTGCTGGGTCAGACCAGGGAGGGTCCCTCCAGTCCAGCATCCTGCAGTGGCCAAGCAGGTCTTCTGGAGGGCCTACAGCAGGGCAGAGAGGCCGAGGCCTTCCCCTGATAACAACATCAGAAGAGCCCTGCTGGGTCAGACCAGGAAGGGTCCATCTAGTCCAGCCTCCTGTCTCACACAGGGGCCAACCAGTTCCTCTGGAGGGCCAACAACAGGGCAGAGAGCCCGAGGCCTTCCCCCGATAAGAACCTCAGAAGAGGCCTGCTGGGTCAGATCAGTGAGGGTCCATCTAGTTCTGTCTCTCACTCAGTGGCCAGCCAGTCCTTCTGGAGGGCCAACAACAGGGCAGGGAGGCCGAGGCCTTCCTCTGATAAGAACCTCAGAAGAGCCCTGCTGGGCCAGACCAGGGAGGGTCCTTCTAGTCCAGCCTCCCGTCTCACACAGGGGCCAGCCAGTCCCTCTGGAAAAGGGCAGAGAGGCCGAGGCCTTCCCCTGAGAAGAACCTCAGAAGAGTCCTGTTGGGCCAGACCAGGGAGGGTCCTTCTAGTCCAGCCTCCCGTCTCACACGGGGGCCAGCCAGTTCCTCTGGAGGGCCAACAACAGGGCAGGGAGGCCGAGGCCTTCCTCTGATAAGAACCTCAGAAGAGCCCTGCTGGGTCAGACCAGGGAGGGTCCACCTAGTCCAGCCTCCCGTCTCACACAGGGGCCAGCCAGTTCCTCTGGAGGGCCAACAACAGGGCAGAGAGGCTGAGGCCTTCCTCTGATAAGGACGTCAGAAGAGCCCTGCTGGGTCAGACCAGGGAGGGTCCACCTAGTCCAGCATCCCTTCTCAACATCGTCATCAACCAGTTCCTCTGGAGGGCCGACAACAGGGCAGAGAGTCCGAGGCCTGCCCCTGATGTTGCCTCCTGGCTCTGGGATTTGGAGGTGGACTGCCTCTGAATGTATGTGGAGGTTCCCAGAGAGCCTGCCTGGTGTCGTGGTTAAAAGCAGTACGTTCTGATCTGGAGACCTGGCTCTGATTCCTCACTCCTCCCCCTCCCCATGAAGCCTGCTGGGTGACCCTGGGCCAGTCACCGTTCTCTCAGAGCTCGCTCAGCCCCACCTGCCTCACAGGATGTCTGTTGTGGGGAGAGGAAGGGAAAGGAGATTGTCAGCCGCTCTGGGACTCCTCAGGGGAGAGGAAAGCCGGGTGTAAAAACCTGCTCATCTTCTTCTTCTTCAGCCACCACGGCTGGGGGCCACTGATACACCTCCTCCCCGGGAATCTAACTCCTTTTTAGGGCCAATCCGCCCTCAGGACCTCCCCTGGCAGTGACTCCCAGGCCTGATGCACTCCTGGAGTCAAAGAGCGTTTCCTTTTGTCTGTCCTAAACCTAATTCCAAATAGCCACACTAGCTTCCCCTCACGTTCTAGCACGATGGGAGAGGGAGAGGAAACTCCTTCTGCCCACCCCAGGCCTAATTCTATTTATTTATATCTATTTATTACTTCGATTTATACCCCGCCCTTCCAGCGAGTAGGCTCAGGGCGGCTCTGCTGCCTTCTGTCATGTCCCCACGTAGTCTTTCTTCCTTTCTAATGGGAAAAGTCCCAGCCAGGGGTGCACCACCAGCCTCTCCCCTCACAGGAGAGCCAGTTTGGTGTCGTGGTTAAGTGTGCGGACTCTAATCTGGGAGAACTGGGTTTGTTTCCCCACTCCTCCACTCACAGCTGCTGGATGACCTTGGGTCAGTCACAAGTTCTCTCAGAGCTGTTCTCTCAAGAGCAGTCCTCAAAAGGGCTCTGCACCACGCACCTCACGGGGTGTCTGTGGTGGGGAGGGGAGGGGGAAGGAGTTTGTCAGCCGCTCTGAGACTCCCCTTGGGTAGTGAAGGGCCATGGGGTATGACTCCAATCTCTTCTCTTCTTCTTCTTTGCCTTCCCCAGCTCTGCAGTGACCCCCCCTCCTGGAGAGAGACTTCGTGGGGACCGGCAGACCCCCCCACAGGATTCCGAAGGGGGCCACGCCATGTAGATCTCTGCCAGCCAGGGCGTGATGGCATTGGCTGGGCTGAAGTCCAGTGAGCGGCACCTCCAAAGCCAAGGGGATGGGGGGGGGACAGATCAGCTTCCCAGCGACACCCTTCCTCAGAGCCCCCCCCCAGGAGTGTTGACTCCTCTCGAGCTCCTCATCCCCTGCAGCTCTTGCTGGTCTCCGAGGTGGGACTGGGTTCGAATCTAGCTCTTCTCCTGCCTGGAAACCCCCCTGCCTGGAGTTGGGCCGCCAGCTGCGCTGAGCTCCCCCCGCCAAGCAGCCCCCCCCCGCCAGGCCTCGTTCCATCTCAGTTCGCAAAAAAAAACCCCCCGCACGCGGGGATATTGGAAACGGCAGCGGCGGCCCTGGGTCTCCGGGGCACGGCGGGGGGGGGGGGGGACCCGGGGGGGGCTTTCCCAC